ATAATATTGGACAGTTAGTTCTTAGGTACTGGGTCAACCAAACCACATGTCAAGGATGCCCTATAACAGTGGTCCTCAACCTTCCTAATGCTGGGACCCTTTAATATAGCTCTTCATGTTGTGGTGATGGGGCCCAACCATAAAATTATTTCATTCCTACATCATAACTGATTCTATAGTTGAGTCAGGCTGTAAATATCCGTATTTTCCAACGGTCTTAGACAACCCCAAATCGATTACAACCACAAGTTGAGAACCACTGCCCTACGTGGATAGAGCATGCACTGACCGCCTGAAAGTTGTCAGACATTCCTAGTCTCAAGTCCATTGATGGCCCTGGTTTCCAAATGTAAAGTTCTGCACAGTGTTCCGCCGGTCGATATCTGCACTGGGTTTTCTCTCACTTGCTAACACAGTACTGTTTTGTTTTTTTTTTACTTTGTGTTAGGTATGCTTGCTTACTTACTTTCATCAATTCCCAGAAATTGATGAAATGTTTCTTCGGTAGCTCTGCTCTCTGTGCTTACAGCAGCTGTACACTCGGCCAGTTCCTAGTTTCTATCTTCTGAATGAAAACAAAAATCAGAATTATCTCCTGTTTTGCAGTTCTGAGGGAAATGAGGTTGTCCTTGTTTTACACTTGCTATGGAAGCTGGGAGAGTTGGAGGATTTATTCAGATTGGCTTGTCTAGTGAGGGAGAGTGCCCGAGTCCAAGCCTGCGTTCTCTGACTTCTGACCCGTCTGTCTTTCTGCATCCACCTGTTTGTGCCTCCCATCCCAGGTCTCTGCCTGTGAGCCTTTAACTGTGCTCATCACATCTGGGACCTACCATCTTGTGATAGACTAGGGTTAGTGCTCCATCTTCATGCTGGCCTGCCTACGTCACGTAGGGCGTCTGATGTTAGTGAGAGACAGGGACAGCAGGAGAGGGGGACACTGAGAGGAGGGGGCCCCCACTATAAGCGATCAGCTCTTTTCTGAGGCGTGCATAAATGCACAGTGACAGGAACCCTGTAAGTCCCCCTTTCGCAAGAGGACTGTATGAGGCTTCAACCCCTCCTCCTTGCCTCCTTTTCTTGGCAAACCATTGCTCATTATAAGGTCATACCAACTCTCCACTAAGTGAGTGGAAATGGTTGACTCAGTCTGGTTTGCTTTTGTGTGTTCTGTTTCTGGTAAGCAGGGACCCCCCCCCCCCACACACACACAGTCTGTATGTGCCTATTTATACATCACTCATCTCTTTTTTTTTGAGGTCCTGTGAAAGGCCTAAGTAGACATTAGCGGCCTGAGTAGAAGGAGATCTCTGAAATGACCATTGCAGATCCTCAGCTGGCATGGGGAAGATCTTTCTTACACCTCCTGGATACAGTGTAACTCAGAATAGATAGAGTGATACTGCTGAGAGCTGATTTAAGGGATGAAATACTCCGAAGAAGAAAAAATACAAATAACTATCACCTGTTGTTGGCATTGAATTTTTGATTCAAGAAACATTTTCTACATCATTATCACCACATAAATAATTCTTATTCTTATCCTTATTCTTCCTCTTTTTTCTTCTTCTTCTCAATTATCGTCATCAAATATCTCCTGTAGCCTTTTCTAATCAAAATACTCAGAATATATCATTTTGATACAGTTGAGGCTCAGGTTGGCAAATAGCTACAGACACTTAGAAGGCAGGATAGCCCCCTCCCACCCTACTTCTCTACAGAGGCAGCAGAAAGGGCGGTGGGGCAAACCACAAGCTCCAGCGTCCTTTCTCATCTTCTGTTGGTTTCACTTGTATGAGGTGGTCTAAAACTACCTGATTTCTTGGCTTCCATGGGTTCTTGAGTGGAGTTTGTAGCATCTGTCTTTCCTGGTGTCTGTTGTTTTCAGATGTGTCTGGGGCCCTCACCTCTGACTGTAGGATTCTATCTTCACTTTCCACACTCCTGCCATAATCTCTGCTCTTAATTAGCTGTTCTGCTGCACCTAGAGCTGGTTAGCAAGCACCTGAGTACGTGAAAAGTGACAGAGAGGCCATGACTTTCAGTTAAAATACTGTGTGGTGTTTTGGGCAGAACTAAAACTGATTCTAAAAATTCATGTATGAAAATAAAATGTTTTTAATTGATTCTGGTAAATTTGTATACATTGAATCTGTGCTTTAAACTCATTCCTGTGTATAAAGAGATTTCTTGTGCTGCAGTTTTAAGCTATTGATTCTTGTTTCCTTATTTCTGGAAGTTATCTGACAAGCATGATCTCTTATCATAAGTAATTTCTCTGCACATGCAAAAGTTAGAACTTTTGTAGTGACTCCTTTTAAGTCAAAGACTACTTTATGAAGACTTATTTCACTTAGAAGAATTTGTATTTAAATTTTATTAATATTTTATGTGAGGTTAAATCTTTATCTTCACGTTCTATTACCTCTGTGTTATGTAATCTCATGTATATGAGGAACACACAGAGTACCTGAATCAACAAAGAACAGGTGTAGGTTAAGTGGAAGGCATCATAGTTTACTCTCCCAGGTTGTGAAATAAGGCCAAAACTTCGTATGTGCCTAACACACTTTCCTCTTTATTTATTCTTACCGCTGTATTGAATAATGTGTTATAACCAAGAAAATATGGACAGGAACTTGTATGAATAGGCAACAATAATTTGTAATGGCACATGATTATGTAAATACATAAACATATAGAATCTATACCTAAAGTAATTTAATCTGTGATAGATGACAAAATATTTTAGTAAATTATACTGTTGTATTTGTGTAGTCTTCATTTCCTACGTAGTGATCATAATTGAACCTTTGACCACAGCACCGCAGATGATAAAAGCATTGGATTTTTACCCCGAAGAACACTGGACTCTGTTTGTATTCTTTGTGCAGCATTTCTACTCTTTACTAGTACAACTCATGTGAGTCCGATGCGTCGTGTTGTTCAGGGTCCTCAGATTGTTCAAGGGTTCCCAGATGGTCCCAACTTGGCTGTCCCCTCATTGCCGTGCTCATTTCGTCATAGACTAAAAGGAGATAAGCAGAAGTACCAGAAAGAAAGAGCAGAAGACCTTCTAGCTTATTGTGTATTTTATTCTCGAAGTAAAACAAGAGAGCCAAAGAGCCTTAATTACTTTGTCTTCCAAAGTTGAAATATCAGTGTGATTACATGATAATGACATAGGGTAACCTTGCTGTTCAGATCCCTTCCCCCTCCATCCCGGAAGACCTTAAGATCGGGCGCTTCTGGGACTGGGTGCCAGTGTAAACTCCATCTCTCCCCAAAGTCTGTGATTCCGTAATTGCTCATTCCTCTCCTAGAAGCTCAGAGCTGCTTTGGAGACACAATAAGGACATGTTCCCCAGAAAATAGCCTCCATATGGGGAATCCTGGCTTATGGGTTTTACTGGATGTTCTCAGGGCAGTGCCAGGATTTGGTTGCTGTGTTTTCTCTCAGGGCCACTCAGCATAGCTTTTCAGGGTAATCCCAATTAAGAGGATTGCTTGGAGAAGCGCCCATTGACCAGCGCAGGACACGCAGCTGCTGCACGCTTTCCGTGGAGTAGAAACCTAAGTGACCAGCTCACAGGCATCCTTTCACATCTGGTTTGTGGAGAGGCTCTGACCTTTTTGCTTTGAGTCTTTCTCTCGGTTCCTCTGAAGCCTTCTTAGATAATCCACTACACGTCACAAGTGAGATGCAAAGTGAATGTGGCCTTTTGTCCCATAGCTACTCCTTTAACACAAATGTAGAAGCTCCCCTTATTAGATATGCTGCTTCAGAAACTTTTGACTTACTTCGTAAACTTGCCCTGCCCTGTGGAGTCATTTGTTCCCTATAAAATAAGTGATGTCGCAGATGTGACAATCTGCACTTGTTAGTTCAAAATAAAGCTTTTTTTTTTTTTGCCCAGTATAAACAGGCACCAACTAAATGTTTTCAGGTTGCTGAACTTTGGAGAGGCTAAATACTTCATTTTTATCCCAAATTATTTTGTTGCTTATTCTCATGGCATTGAAAGAGCCTCTCTTCTTTGTCTATCATATGTATCACTGTCCCCTGCTGAACCAACAAATTAAGCATCCTGTTAGTTTCTCTATGGACATTCCCAAGGCTGTTCTCACAGTTCTACCTTCCCTCCCCATTGGACAGTAGAGGTCATTCTGAGTCTTGTGACTCGGCCCCTTCCAGTCTTCCCTCACAATGAGAAGATAAATATACACTTGTCCATTTCCTTGGTGATTTCTCCTTGTCTCAATATCAGTATAACTCCTTTCAGAAACCAGTGTTCTGGGGCTGGGGATAGAACTCAGCGGTAGAGCACATGCCTCTTGTGTGCAAGTCATTGGAGTCAACAGAACCAAAGATGCCACCAGTTTTGTGATTGTAACACGTTCTTGCAAAGAATGCTGTACGTTGCATCCTCTCCACACCATCAGGAATGTTCTTTGCCCAGCACAGAACCCAAGCTGACCTCTCAGGTTCTGGTGTTCAAGGCTCATTTGACCTTTGAGGTTTAAGTCATTTTACTCTTGGCAAGAGAGAATGTATTGTTTAGGAGACTCCAGTTAGGAGAGGGTCATAATAAGGACCCGTAACACTTCTTGGACCTCAGATATGCCTTACAAAACAAAATGTTTATGAGCTAAGTGTAAATGACTCAGAAACATACGAATCGAATTTCCCCTAAAATGCGAATGGATTTTAAAATTAGCAGGAAAAGGGCCTGGCAAGAGATATGCTTTGAATTTCACAAAACCCAGAGGATTTGGAATGCTGTTTAAGAAGCTTGACAAACCCAAACTGTGACTAAGGTTTTCTTTCTTGGCAACTTTCCGTCCCTCTGTGTCTCAGAGAAGAACTCGGTGGTTGGAAGGGAGAGAGAAAGGTTATGAAGGGTTTTGGAAAGAGCATATTGTCATACTTGCATAGGGCCAGAACAGGGACTTAGCAGGCTTTGAAGAGTTGGTCATGCTGCCTTTTGTATTTGTTTTCCCAGGTTTGCACCTCCGACTCCGTCTCCTCACCACATCAGCCCGGGAAGGGTTCCAGCCCCTCCATCACTGCTACAGAGAGCACAGCCTCCCCACACCCAGCAGCCACCAGGCTCACTCCTCAAGTCCTACCAGCCAGAAACAGACTCTCCTTTTCAGTCAAATGGTATCCACGTCCATGGTAAGCAGTTGCTGGCCGGCCTTGGCGTTTTGAAAGGCAGTGTTTTGCTGTTGCCTTTAATCAGATGTCCTGGGGACCGGTTACGGGTCTCAGATGTTCTGTTTTCCATCCGGCCCCAGCTTTTAGAAGGTCTCCCCCAGACAGCACACTTACTAGGCATGGAATTTTATAGTATTCTTCTCAGATGGCCTGGCTTATGACACCCATAGTTGTCAGACCAAGACACTTGTGTGTGTTCCTGGGACACCTCAAGGGCAGGCTCCTGAATGAGCAGGGGACTGTGCAAAAAGAAGACCCAGGGGTGCTGTCTCCTCCCCACAAGCCAGGTCAAAGCCTTCCCCAGCTCCTTAGCACTGTCATCGCCCCTGGCCCTGAACTTCGAACATCGTCTCATCTGCATTTCTTTGGTAGAACTTCCAGTCTCTCCATCTTGTAGATGTTCTGAATAAAACATACCCTCTTCATTAATATATAAACTTGTTTCTGAGGCCAGAATTGTCTGACCCATCACCATATCTCTTAGGGAACTCAACACATTTCTTCATGTATAGTAATGACTATACATATTCATATGCGAAGAAAGGAACATAAGGAAATGAGAAATCACAGTGGCTTACATTCTGTGCCAGTGTGTGTTCAACAAGAACCATGCTCGGAGGACTGAATGTACTGTGATTTCTTTTCTTTATTCAATCTCATTTCTCCAGTTCAAGCACATACCCTAGTGGACTTCCACAGACAACGGAAATGCCAAGCCATAGAGACTCCAACTGCCAAATCCTTTTACTTCCCGTTGTCAGCATTCTTTGTAAGGAGGCCCCAGATGATTCTAAAAACGAGTCTTTTGTCTTCATCTTCACCAGTACCATATATTTATATGGGTTATCACTTGGAATTAATGGGTGGTGTCCTGAGCCAGTGTTTACTCTGAGTGTGAATAAGGCCCCTAGATAGTAGACTCCATAATATTGTGGTGCTAAACTTGGTCAAGAGCCTCAAAGCAGAGTCCTGAGCAGCAGGGAGGAGGCTAGTTAAGAAGATGTCAGTGACTGTCTATAGCAAGGGTGGACACTGACAAGCCAGGGTCACAGAGCTACTTCCAACTCCCCCCCACCCCCGCCCTGTTAACACTGTTTCCCAACAAAACTTACACTCTTCAGTCCAGTGGTAGTTTTTACCTTCTACTTGCGAGCACCTTCCTGCACTTCTATTATACCAGGAAATGATTTTGTAAGTGCCTGTCAGGGGTGCACAAGGTGAGGTATATAAGAAAGGAAAAGGGAGTTTTCTTCCTGGGCAGTTAGGCAGCTTGTCTGATGAAGGGAAACCCAAGGCCATGTTCTGAAAAGCTAAATGAACCCCTCTAGGAGGGGCGTTGGGAGCACGGGCTGGGTGGAAGTTCCGGTAGGTCTGCAGTGTCGTAGATCCTGGGGAAGGCAGTATACCCTGCTTTGAGTACAGCTATGAAAACAGTTTTTAAAAAACCTTAAACCTTAGCTTATGTGCTAAGAAAAACTAACTGGAAAGGAATTTAGCTGAAATGCTGATAGTTCGTTTTTAATCAGGCCACCCCTTGCCGCGTCCCTTCTTATTTTCTAACAAAACTTTTCAAGAGGGTGATGAAGGAGGCCAGTTTGTATGGGAATCCTGTGGTCTCTGAACTGCATGTCCATGGGCCAGGTTTTGTGCCTGGGATCGCAGTTGCCAATGGGGACAGTGTCATTGGCTTCTCTTATTCTCGTTTCTCTTATCACTTGTTACAAGAAGCCGATAAGAAAAGCAGCAGGTGTGGGCTTGCCTCGTTGCAGTCTCTTCTTTCTCCTTCCCTTTTCTTTACTCGGCTCTGAGAACAAGGATCATGTTTGTGGCCCCAGGGCAAGCATAATACTTGGCACAAAGTAGGCATTTAATGAGTTTCTTACTGGATGAGTAATTGGCACTTTCTCATTCAGCAAATACATAATACACCAAGGGGATCCAGAGAGCATCCTCCATGTTACTTTGGCAAAATGCTCTTTCTCTACATTTCTCCTTTGGAAAGATAAATAATGAATATATTTCAGCTTGAAAATGTCACTTTTTTTTTAAACTTCCACTTCTTTAATTATTAAAAACTTGTATATCCAATGAGAAACAGAGGATATCAGACATAAGTTAGGTTCAAGATACAGTTAGGGAAAATGAGAATTCATGAGCTGCCCCAGGAAGATGGCCAAGTGTGGTAGCTACTGTGATGAGATTGCAAAGAAAGTGTCCATGCTTTAGTCACCAGTGAAGGGTTAGAGACACGGGTGCAGCCTAATCCTTCTCTAAGCAGGTTCCCAAGAAGAGCTTTAAAAAAAAAAGCCCTAAAACTTTCTGAGTATATGCTGTTTTTCTAGGGGCGAGTGCGCCTTCTTACCAGGTGTACTTAGGAGCTGCAGCTGTCCGCTTTTGTTGTTCACATTTGTTGGACAGAGTTACAGGGCATCCTAGTGACAGCGGAGCTTCGTCTTCTTTTACTAAAACACCGTCTTTTATGCCACAAGCTGTGCCAGAGTTTGTAACCCAGTGGCCACAGTGAGTCTCAACTCCTCCTTTGAAGATGGAGTGATGTTCATGGCCTTAAAGAGCATCATCAGCCCAAGCTGTCTCGGAGAGATGCAGTGACTCTCCTGAGATGTGATTGTCTTACACAAAACTTAGAAGGTCAGAATTCAGAGGGGCCTTGGTCGCGCTGAAGAAGAAGAAAAGGAGGTCCTCTGGGCTTTGTCAATCATCCACCAGTTGGAACTGAACCTAGTACCAATGTGTGCTGAACTTGTATTTTTATTAGAGGGAAAGGGTGTATACCTTTGTAAAGAATTAACACCAACATCCTTTCCTCACCTCAGTTTTACTGATTCTCCATCCACTCCATCCAGTCAGACTGCCCAAGAGGATAAGGTGTCCTTTCTTCCTGATGTTTGAACCTTGGTAGACTTCTCCAGTCTCTGTTTGGACGATATCTCTCAGGCAACCTCTGAGGACATTTGAGCTTTTCTTTCAGATGTCAACATAAGGCCACTCTTTCCGATGATGTAAGCTTGCTCTTTTCTCGTGCTACGGTAATTCTCTTGTCCAGGCAAGCTTCAGAATCGTGCCTGGATTAGTCGCCCAAGAGTTGATATTTGTGCATTTTGCTATGGTACTAATGGATCATTTCTTTTTAAATGCCTCATTCACCACTGCTTGTTCAGATGCCATGGGAATTCCTAGAAGAGGATTTTCACAGTCTTCCTGCTTCTGGGAGCACCAAGAAGAGGCCAGGTTCACTTCAACGGGTGTTTGTTCGTCCCCCTCTCAGTACCAGGCAACAAGAATGCCATTTAATGGCTGCCATACTGCAGTGGTTGAAGGGTAAAAGGACCCTGACACATTGTGATGAAGATGTTATCAAAGGCTTTATAGAGACGATACCTCCTGAAAAGGAGTTTGAAGCTGAATAGTTCACAGGGCAGGTCTGGGGGAGCTCTGTTCCCTCCTGAGGAGAAGCAAAGGGCACAAGAACAGAGCGTAGACGTCAGGGCGGAGAATGCAGGGAAGAAAGCCTCCGGGAGCTGGCTGGCATCCTGCAGGCTGCACAGGTTAAGCTCAGGGTAGAGGAGAGGATGTGGGAGAACAAGGTGGACTCAGAAAGGGGCGATGTGTCCCACTCAGTGCCGTCACCCTGACGTTTTACAAACGTCATACAGAGATGTGTGTAGAGGGTGGCTCAGTGTAGGCAGGAAAATTAAGCTCCTCCCAGGGCAGAACTAGGTCACACTGTTTGGAACACTCAAGTGACCAAGAGGGAGTTTGATTCTCTCAGATGCCACTGGGAGATTGAGGGAGTGATAGGAGAATTACCGTGGCGTTGTGTGTGTTCACAATCTTTCTGAAGAGAGGAAGGATGGATCCGCAAAGAACAAGTGGAAACACACTCAACATTGGTGCTACAACAGGCTGACGCCCTTTTAAGTGCTTAATAAAATTTAAAATTAGCACGCCCCCCCCCCCCGGGGGATTCCTGCTCAAGAGAAGGGCACATCTTGCCTTGCACGGACCTCAGCTTCTGCCTCTCCCTTACATACACTGGACGCAGACTGCATGCAGGCCATGTGTACTAGTCCTTTGTGTCTCTCCCTCGAGAGTGTGAGTGTGCACACACGCATGCCTGTGTCTGTGTGGGCTATGTGTGTTTCTGTGGGTGTGTTTGTGGGTATATATGCACATAGAAGCCAGGGGACAGTGTTGGTTTCTTCTCTGATCATGCTTCACGCTATCTTTTTCCTGGGAGTCTCACAAAACCCAGCACTCCTAGGTTGGGTAGGCTGATAATCTCTAGGGATTCAGTTGTTTCCGTGCCCCACGGCAGTGTGGTTTCAGATGGCAGCTGGTACAGCAATACCTCTATTTCTTTTGGGTACCAGGGATCTACAATTGGATCTTCATGCTTGTGTGACAAATACTGTAGTCTACTCTGCCCCTGTCCTGTGGATTTCTGATAACCACTCAGACGACTATGGCTACCCTGACTTGGCTGCCCACTTCCTCTTGCATGGTTTGAGTGTTTTGGTCAGAGCTGGCTTCCTGAAGACCCAGCTGTTTCACATAAGCATTTGTAGGGGGTATGAGCTTCCAGATTTTATTGATGGTATGTTAGTAGCAACAGCTGGGTACAAGTTCACTGTTTTTACATGACAAGATATCTAACACGAGAGCATGCTGGCCAGTGGAACAGCTTAGTTGAGCTGACAGTATCCTGTTCTACCACCTTCTGCTTTGTCACCTTGAAAGGGGCCTCTCCCATCATCCTGGTCTCAACAGAAATGCTGGTGTTCTACCTGTCTGATGTTGGCTTAGGAAGAGAAGACAGAGAATGCATGTGTCCCAAGCTTGCTTACATGGCGTCCCTGAAGTGCAAAGCTGAGTTTACTGGACACACACACTGGGGGATGGGTCCACCTCACTTTCTCCCCAGTGTTTTTTCTAGTCTGTAA